AGTAATTATATATATTATTATATTAAATTTTTAACTTTTATAGTTTATTATATCTATTGTATAATTTTTTGTTTTTTTAGATAATGGCAACATCTTCTAATAGCTCTACATTATCGAAAGAATATCAAAAGCAACTTAGTCGTGAGTGCCAAAAACGGTTTAGAAATAAAAATAGAGAAACTAGATATTTATTTACTGATACTTCTGAAAAACTTCAATATTTACTTAATACCGAAGTTCCTATAGTTGTAGTTGAAACTGGTAAAACTCCTATTATAGATACTGATTCTGGTTCTGATTCTGATGACCTTTCACCTTTATCTAATATTGAAGTTCCTACAATTACTAATCTTGAGTTTACTAATACCCAAAGTAATCCAAGTTCTCACCGTGATATAAAACCAAACGTCATGATATGGGTAGAATGGATCAGACCTGTCGACATTGTAAAGCTAAGTTTTAGATGATTGAAAAAGATCAAAATAGTGGGCGTGCTGCTTCGAAATTTTCTCTTTGTTGTGCTAATAGCAAAGTGCAATTACCACCTTTACTTAAATCTCTACTCTATTTACTAAATCTTTATACTTCAACTAATTCTGATGCAGTTGAGTTTCGTAAACATGCTAGAAGTTATAACAATGCCTTAGCTTGTATATCTTTTGGTACTAATGTTGATAACTAATTTTTGGAACATGGCATATCAAATTTTCAAATTCATGGTCAAGTTTATCATTTAATTGGATCATTATTACCAAATGAAGGTCACACACCAGCATTTGCTCAAATATATATTTATGATACTGCAAATGAAATTACAAATCATCATAATATAATGCAGGAATTAAATGAAAATATTTTACAGAGTTTACAGAATATGTTAGATATTTGCAATCCATATATTCAAAATTTTTGTCAAGTAAGAGATATTATATGTGATGATGCAACTACTGAAATTTTAATGATAATTTGTGGTGATAGAAATCAAGATATTTGTCGTTATAATGCTCCATCAGCTCCTGATGTAGCTGCAATAATGGTAGATAATGGTCATGAGGTAAATCTAACAAATCAGGACATTCTTCTTAGAACACGTGATGGAAATTTGCAAAGAATATCAGAGGTTCATTCTTTATATGATCCACTTCATTATGTATTATTATTTCCTAAAGGTGATGATGGATAGCATACAAATATACCACTTATAAATGCTTTAAAAAGAGAACGAGTAACAACTATACAATTTTATGTTTATATATTACAAATTAGAGATGGTGATTAGATACAGCATGCTGGCCGTTTATATCAACAATATATTGTTGATCAGTATGCTAAAATAGAACAAAATCGTTTAATTTATCTTAAACATAATCAAACATCACTATGTGCTGAATTTTATCAAGGTATTATGGATGCAGTACATGCTAAAGATTGCAGTAACACTATTGGTCGTCGTATAATCCTTCCATCATCTTTTACAGGTAGACCACATCAAATGTATTAATTATATCAAGATGCAATAGCGATTATTACTCACTTTGAAAAACTAGATCTTTTTGTTACATTTATATGTAATCCTAAATAGCCAGAAGTTACTAGAGAATTATTACCTCATCAAAATGCTGCTAATAGGCCTGACTTAACAGCCCATGTGTTTCATATAAAATTACAAGCACTATTAAAAGATTTGTATAATAATCATTAGCTTGGTAAAGTTATTGTATATGTATATGTAGTAGAGTTTCAAAAACATGGTCTTCCCCATGCACATATTTTATTAATTCTTGCTTCAGATAACAAATTATGAACTATAGAAGATTATGACTTCATTGTTTCTGCTGAACTCCCTGATATTCATACACATCCTCTTGCTTATGAGACAGTAACAACTATGATGATACATAGTCCATGTGGTTTACTAAAACCTGATGTGCCATGTATGAAAGATGGTGTTTGTACAAAACATTATCCTAAAACTTTTCAAGAGTATACTTTAGAAAGTAATAGTGGATATTCTATTTATCGCAGATGAGACAATGTACGCTTTGTTAAAAATGGAATCCCATTAGACAATATATGGGTTGTGCCACATAATGTCAAATTATATACAAAATACAATGCTCATATTAATGTAAAAATTTGCAGTTCTATAACAGCTATTAAATATCTATATAAATATGTATATAAAGGGCATGATCGAGCAACTATTATATTTGCTCATTCTAACAATCAACAACTTTCATCTGAAGTTGTCCAAATTGATGAAATCAAAATGTATTTGGATGCAAAATATGTTTCAGCTTCAGAAAGTATTTGGAGAATTTTTCATTATAAATTGCATAATTGTAGTCCAAAAGTACAAAGGCTTGCTGTTCATCTTTCTGGACATCACTATGTTACATTTCAAGATGAAGAAAATTTTCAAAATATTGCTAACCATACTAAAAATCGTATGACAACCTTAATAACTTGGTTTCAGGAAAATATGGAAAACCCAATAGCACATATATATACCTATGTTGATTTTCCTTCTTATTATACTTGGAATTCTTCACGCTGCAAATGGACACCTAGAAAAACATTAGCAACTATGATTGGTCGACTTTATATGATTTAACCTTCAGAAGGTGAAAGATATTATTTATGAACTTTACTTAGCCATGTAAAAGGTGCAACTAGCTTTGATGATCTGAAAACTATAAATGTAATAGCTTTAAAGAAGCTTGCTCTTATCTTGGTCTTCTTCAGGATAATACAGAATGAGATGCCTGTTTGCTTGAAGCAACTTCTGTACAGATAGAACACCAATTACAATAGCTTTTTGCAACTATACTTTTATTTTGCCAAACTATAAAATCTGAGTTGTTATAGAATAATCATAAAATAGCATTGTGTGAAGATATTTTATATCGAGCTAATGTGCAATTACAAGATCTTGATGATACAAGTGATATTCCTGCTACAATTGAACATGAAGCTCTTACTTAATTAGAAAATATACTTTTACTAAGTGGAAAATCTTTAAAAAATTTTCCTGATATGCCAATTCCCTTTATTACTTCAAATATCAGTAATAATGAAGAAGAATTAAATCATTTAATACGTGAAGAGAGATCTTATAATATAGCAAACTTAGAAGCTGAATTACAACACAATATACCTTTATTAAATAATAATCAACGTGCAATATTTGATGCTATTATAAGAGCAATTGACAATGAAGAAGGAGAATATTTTTTTATTGATGGACTAGGTGGTACAGGAAAAACTTTTTTATATAACACTTTACTAGCAAGTATTAGATCACGTCGTTACATTGCTTTGGCAGTAGCCTCTTCAGGAATTGCAGCACTTTTAATAAAAGGTAGACGTACAGCTCATAGTCATTTCAAAATTCCACTTAAGCCTAATGAATCTTCTATATGTAATATTTCACGAAATAGCAAAGAAGCTCATTTAATTAGTATTGCAAAACTTATTATTTGGGATGAAGCCCCAATGACTAATAAATTTGCATTTGAAGCTCTTGATAAAACATTTCGTGATATTATACAAGTAGATAAACCATTTGGTGGAAAAGTTATTGTTTTTGGTGGTGATTTTTGTCAAGTACTACCTGTTGTACCTTGTGGCTCCTGTGCAGATATTGTTTTAGCTAGCTTACCTCGCTCTTCATTATGGAGTAATATGAAAGTTATGAAATTAACAATTAATATGAGACTTCAGCAAACTAATGATATTAATGAAAATCAAAAACAAAAGGAATTTGCTAAGCTCCTTTTACAAATAGGAGATGGAATATACCCAATTGTTGTAGATACAGAAAATAGAATAACACTTCCTTCTGATATAGTTGTAGCTGGTGGAATGTTATCAGATCTTATTAATAATG